CGTTGCCTAGGAATACCCGTGGCAACGAACTGTTGAAACGGCGGAAATAATGCATTTCTGCGGCAACGAGCACAGAACACGTGAAATGGAACCCTGGGCGAAAGTGCCCTCTATTGCGTCCGAAACCATGTTATAATAGTCCGGCTCCGAACAGTATTCGGTGATACTGGAAGTGATAATAATTGTACTCGCTGGTGTAAAAGTGAGTGTTCAATAACTTATTCGCTGAATCCGAGACGTACGTGGAAGTTATTTGTCGCACTGAATAGGAGACACGTGACCACAACGTTACATAGGTAACAAGCGACATATTCTTATTATCAAAGTACACGTAAATAATGCAACAATTTAAAATACATCAAAAATATGTCACTCACTAAAAATGTTTTTTAATACTTTATGATGTTAAAATCATTAAAAATGTCAATCTGTCTAGATAAATAAAAATGTAAATGTTCGTTTGTTCAGGATCTTAAATCCCCGAAAGTTCTTCACCGATTGCTTTGAAATTTTGAAATAACGTTGCATTCGAGTACGAGCGTCACACCTGTGACAGGTAAAAACACGTCACATGTTCGGAATCCAGGAGTCACTTCCGTAGTAACGCTAGAACAGACCGTTACATAGGTAGCGACAATAGCGGTATTGTAGACCCAACAGTTGGCAGTTGCCTAGGAAGTAACAATAGCGATACTGTAATCCCAACATTGAGCCGCAGTGTCGAGAACTTCGAATCTCCACGGTTACGACGAATACAGGGAGCGTTCCCACAGAGACAACGCAATAACAATGTGTCGTTGCGTAGGAAACGCCGAATCAACAAAGCACCGTTTCCAAGGTTATAACAAAGGCTCATTTGCATAGCAGCGGCCGAGGGTATAACAGGTGTGTTCAATTCATTCGCCCAGTTAGTCTGGAATAACTGCCGAAGAAGTGAGTCTGTAGCCCCAAAAGTTGGCCATTTTGATTTAGTTATTTCGTGTGACGTTGCGTTGGATTTGGGCTGTGTCGTTTACCATAGCGTTCATTTCGTGAGTATAGTTTATTTTTCATTGTTTTTCATTTCGTTTTCTTGACTGTTCTCCTTATTTTTCAGTGTAATTGGCGGTGGGCTTGAGCTGTGTCGATTGATCTGCGTTTGAATTGAAATATTTCGTTAGACTGAGCCACAGCAACGCGTGGCCGGGTACATATATACTAGCTGTACCCGGCCACGCGTTGCTGTGGCTCAGTNGTTGGCACTAACTTTGCCGACAATCGGCGGTCGCTCAGTCTGTATAGTTCGCTTGCGGACTACAGACCACGGAGTTTGTTGACATATTCTTGATATATTTCAAATTGTTGCATTATTGACGTGTACTTTGATAATAAGAATAATGCCTCAATGCAACGGGATGCTAAAATATAATAATATGTACGTATTTTTTCTCTCTTTGCATAATGGCTAGTGGAACTGCATTTACCAAATTTTTATTATTGTCTGAATAACACAAATTGGTTTGTTTTTTCTTTCGTCTTTGCTTGTGTGTGTTCATCTGTCTGTTTCCTTCTTTGCTCGTGCTTATTTTATAATTGGCCTTTAGGCACTTAAGTAGGCACACAAATAAATGGAGAACTCAATTATCATCATCATCAAACTAAGGATGATGAAATGAACATGCATGGGGATGAGAGAAGTGAATGCACATTTTGTTTTCAAAAACCTGAAGAGAAGAGGCCACTTCAGAGACCATAGGGAAATATAATTCTATGGATATTACAAAAACTGGGTGTGACTGTGAACAATGGATTCATCTAGTTCAGGATACAGTCAAATGATGGACTCTTGTGGGCATGGTAATGAACCTTCAGATTTCATACAAGGTGGGGAATTTCTTGATTTGGTGACCGTAAACTTTTCAAGTAGGGCTGTGCACCATGAAGCCAGTTAACCTGCTCTGATCTGATCCAATGTAACATACCACTATGTTATTCAGGCAGGAATAACATAAAATACAGTAGTGTAGACCTCAAGATGCATTGCATGGAATTAATTAATGTAATATTGTGCTGTCCAAACAATACCAGATCAGAGCTCATCATACTGTTATTGCATCTTTTGTTGGCGACAGGATATTTATTAGCAGGATCTGAGGTTCTCAAAGAGGTGGTTATGAAGAGTTCTATCTTCTGCAATGTAATGCTCTGTAGTTCGCTGAAAGTAAATCAACTGCACAGAATTATATCCTAGAAGACAACTCTTCTGGACTATCTTTTACCACAAAAATGAATTGTCTGGGGAGATTTTAATTCTGCCATAGGTGACTTTTCAGTACTTCTCTATTAAATGACTTCTATCTCACACTGACTGTAAATTTTCCAAGAATCCAAAATAACTGAAACATGAAAATCTACATATATAAATCCAAAGGCTAGATGGTATGCTCTGACAATGTGCCTGACAGAAAGCTGCGGTAGTTAAGAGGACTGGTTGCCAAGTTGCAATGAGATGTTCCTTTGCTTCAGTTGGCATACCAGTCTCGACCTCTGACAAAAAATAAATTTCCATCACTGATATGCACATATTCAGTGAAAGAGTAATTTAATATATATAAGACCAGGCAATGGGGGGTTGTCTATAGACACTAACTGGAGATGGAAATTTTATATAGCAGCATATTGATATTCCATCAATTTTGGAATGGCTTATCTACAGATACCATATCTACAGATTAGATTACAGACAGAAGGGCACACTGGTATGCTTTCAAGATAGGTTTTTTATTAAGTTCATTTCTTTTTCGTTGTAATTTCAATGGGGAAAAAATAGTAAATAATATTTTTATTGTCATCAGTATATACATCCCAATCATGGAATGCCTTCCTCATCTAGCTATATGCAATTTTGCCGTAACATAATTTATACTACCCAATCATGTAATTCCATTCTTCTCCAAGTGCAATGTGTATGATCACACAATTTTTAATGCCTGAATGAAAAAACAGATTTCAAAATCATTGATGGCCTGTAACTTACCTTTTGGTGGTGTCCAGTGATGACTTCCGTATGAAGTTTGTAGCAACAAGTATTCTATTTGATTACAGACTTTTCTAAAGATTACGAATCCTGAAGCTCTTAATCCCTTTGCCGAGGACATTGTGCATATATCGCTCCAAAAGTTCTAAATCCCTCTTAAGCACCCTTAACCTACTTCTGTATCGCCTTCACACATTATCGTGTCCAAAGCATCACTGACCACACGTCACTAGCCCAAGAATATGGCATATTATATTTGTATCTAAATATTCATACATTTGTACTTAAGAGGTTTATGGGTGCATTTATACTGAAACAAAAGGTTAAAATAAATTTCCTTTCTTATCCCGGTTCACATCAGACATTAATAACATTGCCGCTCATTATAAACCACTAACAGTCTGCTATCTGTACTCAGTGGTACTGACAATCATTAGTTAAATGCCAACAAGACGATAATTTCATTACTGGTGTTACCGCTCATGACCATGATTTCCCTATCTACAGCCCCGCCCCTTTCAAGTGACCGTTTCAATTGCACAGCGGATCAGTTTTATTTATACATACATTCGTTCAGGGCGAAAATTTTCCACCATGATTACCTATCCCGGAATTAGCTTACATTCTTCGACTTCTCCCCATTTTTAATAAAGGACTGACTTACGCAAAAATATGCATTAGTTTTCTTCCGCATATATCTCATTGATTTTTCTACACTTCATTACGATAATGTTTACGATGTTTACCGTGCTTTACGCAAAACTGACGAATGGCATCACTAAGGCTGTGAATACCTGGATATTATGACGCATGAAATTGTGGTAGTTTCGTAACGTGGAATAATGTGCAAGGTCATGTGTACAAAGTGTGTGGTGTAAAGTTTGGAGAGAACGATTCACTTTTCCGGCATTTGTGAATTACTGTGTTTAAACTTATATACGTACTGGTATTAAAACAGAGTTAAGTCTACGTCATGGGTACTAGAGTTGGAGAGTACAAGAAATATCTGGACACCGCACTGCACGATAAGAACAAGCCATGGACACCTGCTCTAGAATGGGCCGAGGGCAAGACTGGAATAAAACGATTATACATATTCATGAGTGAGTCAGATTAGATAATAATGTACCTAGCTTCTAAGTGTGGATTCTGAGACCAGCTCAGTCTTTTGGACTCATAAGTAAGACAGAACCACAACCAAGTGGTGAGAATAGTCTTAGATCTGGAGTCCAGTAGGATTTTAGAATCTGGAGACATTATTTTCTTGCTTCAAGACAGACAGCATATTTCCCGTGAGAAGTTCACTTTGTATTTGTCGTGTTTAATAATGGCTACCCAGGTTATCTTTTAGTATTGGTAGCAGAGAAGAATGCAGATAAAAACATTTCTACTCACTTGAACTGTGTAAATAAAATAAAGCCTTGCTGTTTTTCTTATTGGATTCTTTGAAGTGTGTCACATTTTTAATGTACAGGTATTGCTCGGTTTATGGAATAGTTGTGCTCCAAAAGAAATGTTGCAGAGGGTGAAACCACATAAATTTAATAGTTTTTCTGTCCCACCCCCCTCACATTCTTCCTCCACAGACCTTAACAATAATCTACTTACTCTTTTCCCCACATGTCTCGGTGAGCAAGCAATACACATTATAGAAAGTTGTAAGTAAAAAAGTAAAAGTAAAGTCCCTGTGCTTAATTAACCAGCTTAACTAACTATGCCATGAAGATATATGTGGGAATAGATGTATAGATCTACGTTTTCTCAATCTTGACACTTGTTGGAGATGAGTGGTCAGCCTCATGATGTGGAGAAAATTCTTGACCCTACTGGGACTTGAACTTCAACCCTTCTGTAGTCCAGCCAGTAGCTATACTGACTCAGCTATTGTACAAGGAGATTGTCTGAGAGCGTGGCACATGTTGTGCTGTCTGCCAAGCAGAAGAGACACAAGTTCCTTGCATAACTCTTTCCATGTGCAATCAAACCTGCAACACAATTGAGAAGTCCATAGGCAAACAAACCACAAATCCCACAGCAGATGGATGGAATTTGCTGCACATGTATTCTTGACAATTTTCTGAAATGTGCATATTTGTACATTAAAATTCTTCTGTAAACTTGAAGCCTCAAACTTTAATCCCCAAACTCCTTTCCAAGGCATGTAAGCAATTTTTTTTAGGGGAATGCGCAAGCCTACCAGTATTTTTATCCAGTTTATCTTCATTGTGCATCAGCATTTTGATTCAGGGTCCCCCCACTAACAACCTTGTGTGTCAAAGTTTATAGTTGTATGGGAGTTTTTCCTATTTGAAACTGTAACACCTTGAAATCATGCCAACATATTCTTACTTTTCACATGGAATTTTGATAAGAAGTAACACAATAGCAGAGGCCTATTTGGAGTAAGGAAAAACTGCCTGATCGATGAAAGTGAATCTGCTGGGTGATAATGTAGATACCATAAAGAAAAACACACAAACTTTAATTGATGCAAGTAAAGAGGTTGGTCTAGAAATAAACACAGAGAAAACTAAGTATATGTTGCTGTCTCATCACCAGAATGCAGGGCAAAATCATGGCATAAAGATAGGAAACAGATGTTTTGAAAATGTGGCACAGTTCAGATATTCAGAAATAGTGATAACAAATCAAAACCTAATTGAGGAGGAAATTAAGAGGAGATTGAAGTTGGGTAATGCTTTCTACCATTCAGTCCAGAACCTTTGTTTTCTCGTCTCCTGTCCAAAAACATAAAAATTGAAATATACAAAACTATAATTTTGCCTGTGGTTCTGTATAGGTGTGAAACTTTTTCTCTGACATTAAGGGAGGAACATAGACTGAGGGTGTTTGAGAACAGGGTGCTAGAATATTTGGATCAGGGAGAGATGAAGTGACAGGAAGTTGGAGAAAACTGCGTAATGAGGAGCTTCATAACTTGTACTCTTCACCAAATATAATTAGAATGATCAAGTCAAGGAGGATGAGATGGACAGGGCTTGTAGCACAAATGGGGGAGAAGAGGAATGCATATAGGATACTGGTGGGAAAGCCAGATGGAAAGAGACCACTGGGAAGACCAAGGCGTAGGTGGATGGACAATATTAAAATGGATCTTATAGAGATAGAATGGGATGGTATGGACTGGATTGATCTGGCTCAAGATAGAGACCAGTGGAGGGCTCTTGTGAACATGATAATGAACCATCGGGTTCCATAAAATGCTGGGAATTTCTTGAATAGCTGCACAGTTGGCAGCTTCACAGGTAGGGCTCAGCTGCATGAGTGAGTGAGTGAGTGAGTGAGTGATAGATAGCCTGGAATTGGAGTTAGGGTCAGCAAGCACATAAGACATAAGCTTGCTTCATGGTAGCTTTTCAGTGATTTATTGGGGTGATATTGAAGACAAATTGTAATGTGTAGAGGCAATTGGTCTGTTGACTGCCATGAGTGTAAATGCATGGTGATGGAGTTGATGCAAGTAGCATGTGTCCTTCCTGCCAGATAGGTCAGACATTTCAAGAACAATATATGGCAGGCTTTCAGGTAATCATTTTGTGATATGAAGAAACTAAAACATGTTTGTATTTCACTATCCAAAAGAAATCATCAGCGTGAATCATCTTCATCTTTTCTTCTATGCAGAATGAACCAACCTGGAATGCGAATTCGATTCGCAGAAAACAAAAACAAAAAATCGAAATAAATAGTTTATTATTTATGATACATATCTAATTCTTTTTTACTGGAAAGCTGTCTAGAGACTTTTTGCTGACACTTCAAAATTTGGTGAAAATGCGACACAGCATTGTCATTAAATAAATTTGTAGCACACATAGCCACTGCCTTATTAGGATGATGCTTTTCAATGTACGATGCAACAGTTTCCCATGCTTTCAACATTTCTCTTATTGCGCCAGAAGATTGTTGCTTTGCTGCTACCTCCTCCTCCTCTGACAAACTCTCCTCCACAGCTTCTTGCTGTGAAACACAATGCAACTCAAAATCGTGCAAATCGTTGATGTAGACCGATCGTATGTGCGTGCTAGATCAGCCACGCTCGCTTTTCAATGATTTTACATGTCATTTCTACGGTTATTTTTATTCTCTTATGGCTGTCTTTTTGCGGCTTTTTCCTTGGGGACATTCTTGCAAGGGTTATTAAACTTTGCACAAAAAAATCACAAATAATATGTCTGAACACAAGTTTGGAAAAATGTGTGATCACAAGCAACACTAAGATGCTAGTGGAACGAGTGCTAAACACAGACTGATGTAGCAAGCGTACAATCCGGGACTTCCCCTCTCGTCACTCGTTATGCGAAACGTCGCTCATTAAGCGAGTCATTTTTTACAATTTGTTTTGCTCATTATTACAGTTACTCATTATGAGAGGTGCTCATTAAGCAAGGTTCCACTGTACTCAATTCCCTAAATTGAAATGCATTATTATTTCTGTTTCAGTTCTGGTTGTTATGCTCGGACTCTATATGTTGTTTGGAATTGCTGCACAGTTGTTGTGTAACATCATTGGATTTCTGTATCCAGCCTATCGTTCCATAAAAGCACTTGAGAGTCCAAATAAGGATGATGATACGAAGTGGTTAACATACTGGGTAGTGTTTGCTCTGTTCTCCGTCATTGAATATTTTTCAAATATTCTGTTACATTGGTTTCCATTCTACTGGCTTTTGAAGGTAAGTCACAAACTGTCACTTGATTCTTGTGTCTTCTTATTGCATTTTATTTAGTACTTGCATAAAAGCTGCTGAAATTTCAGTGGGAAATTGTTAAAAAATTTAATTTGTCACAAATATCTAACCTCATTCATTTGGAAAATTCAACATTTCTACCAAGATATTAGATATGATGGTATAACAGTATGCAGTATACAATGTACAGTCTGTATGAAATGTTTTTGGCAGCAAACAATTAGAAATACAAAATCTATATTTTTCTTCAATTAGCAACACAGTATCATAATGGCAATTGTGTAGTTCACCAACAAGCATCAGGGATATATTTCATTCAATAACAACGTCAACTGTTATAAGTTCATGATTTAGTGATTTGGCCCTCATATGCAGAACAAAGACTAACAGGTACTATGCAGACGTCATTAATAGCTTTTATTTTGACATTACCGAGGTTAACTACATTTTTTCCGTGTTTATTTTGTAATCTTCCCTTGTATTAACAGGCACCTGCACATTATTCTAAATAATCTCAGTTGCAATAAGTGGGCAGAATCTTCAAAATACACAATTGCTATGCCTAGCTACAGTTTCCAGAGATGACCCTTCCACTGGTACACTGATGCAACTGGAAAGAATGAAATCGCAGTTGCCTCAAAGTCACAGCCATATGTTACATTTAAACCTCTTTACAAATTAAGAGTGATCAGGATTCCTTATTGCAGCCATGCTGGAATTGCAAAAGAAATTAAACTGAAGGTGTTATTTCATGGTTTCAGCATCCATATCACATATTATGAAAATAGTTTGCATGGTTCGAGACTTATTTTTTGAACGTTCATTATACAGTCTGGAAAAGTTATTCATCATAATAGAATGGGCATTTTATTGGAGTATGTTCAACAATAAGGTGTTGGTTCCCCATAGAGTGTACAAACAGGTGGTACCGGTTCTTCATGGGGGCAGTGTAGTTGGTTGAGGCACTATGCTACAAGCTGGAAGGTCACAGGTTCAAGTCCTGATGAGGTCATTGGATTTTTTCAGTTGACCTAATCCTTCCAGCCGCACTATGGCCCTGGGTCTGCTCAGCCTCTAACAGAAATGAGTACAAGGAATATTCTTGTGGGTAAAGGGCGGCTGGCGCATAGGGCTGACAACCTTGCCGCCATCTGTGAGCCAGGTGTCTAGAAAATGTGGGAACCTCAACATCTCACAACCGTATGGGTCTCCATGGCCTGTTACAGGGATACCTTTACTTTACATTTTACCGGTTCTTCATGTAACAGTATCTATGAATGTATGTTAGGCAGATGTGAACAGACTGAAGAAATGTAGATAAAAAGCTCATGTACTGAAACTGACACTGTCATTTTAACTCAGCATTTAGACAATGTCCCATTTCAGCAGTTCTTGAAACATTCATCTCCCACCCATCCCCTTGTCTATTTTGTTTCTCCAAGTTTTAAAGGTGGCACATTATCATAATATGAAGTGCAATTTTTCCTGCTTATATCTCACTTTATTGTACAGTCACCACATAACATACAGTGAGGGCCCAGTGAATAATGAAAACTGGGTAAATGTGACAGTAGTTTCACCTTCCATTTTTCTGTTACAGTGTATCTTTCACATCTGGTGCTTTGTCCCAATTGAGAACAATGGGTCTGTAATCATCTACAATCGTGTGATTCGCCCTTATTTCCTTAAGCATGAGGAGAAAGTAGACAGCGTGCTGAGTGATATCGCTGGATCAGGTACAGGAAGCTAATTTGCAGTAAAGACAGAGTTTACATGTTCTGTTATGTTTTAATGTTTTAGGATCTGATTTTATTTTTGCTGTTTTGTTAGCATCTGGGACTGGAAAGCACTGGAAGTAAAAGTTTAATTCAGTTCCTTTTTTTAAATGCTTGCCAGCAGCAAGTATCCTATAACAGGCACGCACAACATTTATAATCTCATGCATTCTTTATGTCTCAATCCTCAAAAGTGTAAGTTAGGGGCCCTGTGCACACGCATGCACAAACACACATACACATTTACATGTAACTTGGTACCTGCAACAGCTGGCAGGTTCACAGTGATACGTGGTCTGGTAGTAAAGTTTGGAAACTCGCCACCAATTCTTTGCCGTAGCACCAGTGGACAGAAACCTCAGTATGGATTGATTATGTTGGCATATCAGTGTTTCACAGCTGTGCTGTTGTTGATCTATGGCAGTCTCTTTTTGAGTGGCGTCTATTATTGTCTGAGCGTGTTTTGGTGTGCCATCGCAAGAATATCGGGGCTTCTTGTTAAACTTGGCAAGAGTGGAGGTAAAATCAGAGAGATGTTAGTGAAAATTTACTGGGATTAATGCTGTGAAGAAAACAGCAGTTTACAAGTGGGTGACACATTTTTCTGAGGGAAGAGAAAGTGTCACTGGTAAGAAATCAGGACGACCAGCAACAAGCAGAACTGAAGAAAACATTGCAAAAGTTCCTCAAATTGTGCGTGAAAATCTTCGGCTGACTGTCCGGAGCATAGCTGAGCAAGTTAACATCGACAGAGAAACAGTTAGGGAAATTTTGACTGAAGATCTTGACATGAGGAAGGTGTGTGCAGAAATGGTCCCAAAGGACCTGCTCACACGGCACTGTCTGTGAGTGAGCTTTTAGCTAGTAAACAATTAACTCTGTTGGAACACCTTTCCTATTCCCTGGATCTAGCCACTGATGGCTTTTTTTTCTGTTGCTGAAGATAAAGGAAACATCGAAAGGAATGCATTCTGATGACATTGATGACATGAGGAGTAATATGACAGTAGCTCTGAACGCCATTCCACAAAATCCATTCCAAAATTGTTTTTAAGGGCAGACTAGGCACTGGCTTTGGTGCATAACTTCCCAAGGGGAAGCAAAGAGGTCTGTAGCACTTTTACCACAATGAGTCTTTATGAGACTTTACTGTCAGACCATGTATACACAATAAAACATTATCTAATATTGTTCAGCATAAAATCTATTTTGCACTTCCCTTTTTAACTTTCAGTGAGCGTCTTCAGACATTTTTAATAATGTTTAATGAAATTTGATCTTGTGAAACACACTTCTATACAGAAAGAACCTGTTCTCATAACCATCATAATGCTCAGAAAAGAGAAGCAAGTTTTGTCTCTGTCTAAATTTCTTTTTCCTGTGTCCCTGTTTTGCTTACTCAGAAATAACAACTTTCTGTTTGTCATAATGCCCCACATGTCAGGTTCTGTAGGATCTTCACTTACTAATATATGTCAAGAAATAAATCAACCACAGTCTCTGAAAAGAGTTTGGATAGCTCAGTCAGTGTAGAAACAGGCTACAGGATGGATGGCCCAGGTTCAATTCCCAGCAGAGGCAAGATTTTTCTCTTCTCCACAGCATCCAGACAAGCTTTGGGGCCCACATAGCCTCCTCTCCAATGGGTAATGGAATGATTTCCCCAAGGGAGAAGAGCCTGGGGCATGGAGTTGATCATCACCTCCATCGAGTGCTGAGGTCAAGAATTGGTGGAGGTATACCTCCACTCCCACATATGTCTTTATGGCATAGTGCTTAATTAATTAATCACAGGGACAGCTTTACCTTTTACAGTCTTTAAAATCTAATTTGAAGAGGAAAGCAGTTTCCTGTGCTCTTGTTGTCTAGCAAAAGAGCCCCAGGCACCCATTATGAAAACCCCATTGTCATTTCCTATGTCATTTTTGAGTGGTTATCATTGCTATTTGATATTTGTTAAGTCCTAGGCTTGAATTTCAGTTCAAAGACTGGCTCTCCTGACTGAAGTTCTTTCATAATCTCTCCAGACAAATACAGGCATATTACAGTAACATGAGCCACACTTATGTTGTTCCACATTGTTCCAAATTCATTATTCACAAATCAGTTTTCTGTATTTTGCTACTTAATTACTGCATTTGAAAATATGTTGTTAAATAAATGAAAAATCAGTCACTTGGCAAAGAAACTCCCAGGAATACTTGAAAGTGCATGAAAGGTGACCTTAAAGTACTGTTTCATTAGTAAAAGCTGGTTTGGTACTACACACATGATACCCTAATTATAGATGAGTTCTTTTGTGTATGTGTGTGCGTGTGTTTTTTAGCATCTTCCTCATCCCAGTACAGGCGAAGGAGTAGACAAATATCATTGAAATTTTTCGTTTTAGAAAATATATTAAATTGGGTATTGATAGGTAAAATATATGGATTCCCCCCACATACATGCATAATTAAGGATCCCCTGTTGGGACTAATTGTTAAGCACTCATTTTTAATTTTACTGTTTTAATAAACATTTAAACTGTTGTTCTTACTTGGATGAAACTTAAAGAGAATATTCTTAACTTCAGTATCTGTGAGTACTTTTTAAGTGGTATACAGGGTGTATCAAAACTCAACGGCAAAACTTCAAGAATGGACTCCTCATATAGAGAGAAGAAAAAAGTGTATGACAACATGGATCTGGAAATGCATAATTACAGCGTTATCTGAGCTTGTAATTTACGGAGTGCACACTGACACGTCCTGTTTTCCGGAATAAAATTGTGAGACACCGGTTACAGTTGTTACACAAATAATCATGTTGCGAATCAGTATGATGTGGGCTTTAATACCTCTAGGACACACAAGAGACGGAATCCAAAATTTTCATAATCAGCACGTGTGGGCGGACACAAATCCCCATGCAACTAACCAGTCATCTCAACAACAGAGGTTCACCATTAACATCTGGGCAGGAATTGTTGGTGATTGTTTGTTGGAACCCTGCGTTCTTCTGGACAAGCTTAATGGACAGAACTACACAAATTTCTTGCATACTACATTGCCTGATTACTTGGAAGACATGCCACTAGGATCCCATCGACAGCTGTAGTTCATGATGGTGCTCCCGCACATTTCAGTCTGTCTGCCCGCAGGCACCTTAATGCACATTATCCTTGGCACTGGGTAGGTAGAGGTGGACCGATTGCTTGGCCACCACGCTCTCCTGACTTAAACCCCCTGGACTTTTACCTGTGGGGACACTTAAAGTCTGTTGTGTATTCGACTGCTGTTGCTGATGTACCAACTCTCCATGCGCACATTGTGGCAGCCTGCCAGATAGTACACACTACACCGGGCATTTCTGATCGTGTGCGGCACTGAATGCGACGATGAGCAGAGGCCCGTATTCAGGCAGGAGGAGGTCACTTTGAACATTTCCTCCAATATGTGACCAGAGTGTTCCAGCTGGTGTTACAGACATATTCAGTGTAACAATGCAACAGTGTTGGGAGTGTCAGATTGCACTAATGTTACTAAAAGGTCGGATAACTCTGTAATTACGCATTTCCGGAACCATGTTATCATACACTTTTCTTCTTCTCTCTGTATGAGGAGTCCAATCCTGAAGTTTTGCCATTGAGTTTTGATACACCTGTATAGTGGATTACTTGAAAGATGAAAATGTTTCATTTTGTTAATACCTGTAAGCCTAGGAGACTGTATTTTGAATTGTCTCTTATAATAATATAGCAATCTTTTTTACAGCTGCAAGATTAGCTGCACAAAACATCTTTAAGAGTGAATAAAATTCTCCATTTACATATAACTATTTCAAAGAATGCAGAAGATGGAATATTATAAGCATCAGCTATCAGATGAATTTGCTCTACACTGTAACACAGCCAAACAAGCATAAGTATTGTCATTGTAATAAGAATTGGTACAAATTAGCCTGTTCTATAATTGAAACATCTTTGAGAGCAGTGAAAAGTGATCATGAAGTGTTTGTATATAACTAGATTAACTGCATTTGACAAAGTTTAATGGTAAGATCCATTTTAATATTGTCCACCCACCTACACCTTGATCTTCCCAGTGGTCTCTTCTGGCTTTCCCACCTATATGCATTCCTCATCTCCCCCAGTCATGCTACATGCCCTGCCCACCCCATCCTCCTTGACTTGAATATTCTAATTATACTTGGAGAAGAGTCCAAGTTATGAAGCTCCTCATTATACAGTTTTCTCCAACCTCCTGTCACTTCATCCCTCTTCAGTCCAAATATTCTCAACAGTTCTCAAACACCCACAGTATATGTGTTTTACAGTGTTTTACATACAGAAATTTCCATAAAGTGTTGTTTATATGGTGGAAATTTGTATCACATTGCTTGTCAGACTCAAGGATATGTACATTTGTTCACAAATAAGTAATTTGAATAGATTGTATGCATTTTGTGGACAATTATGTAAAACTTGTCAACTTTTCCTGTAAATATTCAGTTTATATAAATCACTGAAACTACTGAAAATTAGCAATTTTATATTACTGTATATTCTTGTAAAACATGCAGTAGTAGTGCTGTATTTGTAAAATTTACATGTAAGTACAATTTTTAACAATATTATATTTAAGCATCCTGTTGCACTCTACACGATAAATGATACAAAATCCGTCCCAAGTGCAAACAATATATTGTAGCGTGTTTTGTGTGTCACGCTACAAATAAGTTCACGCCGTTCTTTGATATAGCGAGTTTATTACGTTCGCTCGCCTTACACACACTTTACAAACATTTGCACTTGCAGTGGTACAATTACTGCTCACAATAATTCGGCGAGACACTGGACTCTCTTCTCTGGCGGTTATTCTAGGACTGACTTCTTAGACGGATATCCCATGACTTTCTTCTTAGCTGGCTATTCCGAGACTCACAACTTCTCGTCGAAGCTGGGCTTTTATAACCTTGGCCGCTGCTAGGCAAATGAATCCTCTGTTATAGCAGTGGAAACGTTGCTTTGTTGACTCCGCGTTTCCTACGCAATGACCCATTGTTATTGCGTTGTCTCTGTGGGAACGCTTCGCGTATTCTTCGTAACCGTGGAGATTCGGTGTTCTCTACACAACGGCTCACTGTTGGGATTACAGTGCCGCTATTGTTACTTCTTATGTAACGGTCTATTCTAGTGTTTCCATAGAAGCGACTCTTCTCGATTCGAGACACGTTACAATATATTATATGTTCTTGATCTTGTTCTCCTCTACACTACATGTTTCGGCCTCTAATGGCCATCATCAGGTGTATACTCTTACGTTACTGCCACACTGAACCCAGTCTAAAATTTAACATTTAAAAAACACATTGTTATTTCTTCGTTATTATCAACATCTACCTCGTTGATATCTGTCTNACTTACTCTGTGTAGTCTTCCTGTGTGCGTGACGCTGCTTGTCTTTACTACGTGTGCTGTCTGATGTATTGTGTGCTGTGTCTTATGTTGGTGAGTGTAGGGGAGGAATGGGTAGTGGGCAGAGAGAGGTACCGTTAGTCTGTGTAGATTTCGTGTATCGTTTGAAATATGGCATTGTGTGTTTCTATGTGTGTATCATTCATGTGTAAGCCTTTCTTACTTATTTTATATATATGGTATTTCTCTAATGTATTTAAATGTCTGCCCTTCTTTCCCGTTGTTACAACTTCCATTACGTCTGTTATTGTTCCGTATGCATGTCCTGTATTTAGTATGTGATTTGAGTACCCGGAATTGCTATCATTATTTCTAATATCATGTATATGTTCTTTATATCTAGTGCTAAATGTTCTGCCTGTTTGCCCAATGTATTTCAATGGGCAATCTACACATTTCATTTGGTATATGCCACTTTTATTGTATTTATCTAATTGTGGTTTTTGTTTGAGTATATTTCCTATTGTGTTTCGTGTGCGGAATGCTACTTTTATCTGTGTGTCTTTGAAAAGTTTTGTAACTTTTCTCACTTCTTTTGTACTATATGTAAATGTGGCCCACTTTGTTTTATGTTGTTCGTCGTCATGTATGTTTGATTTTTGTTTTCGTGTTGTCTGATTTAATCTATTGATTATGTTTGTGCTGTATCCGTTGTTATGTAGTATGTTTTTAATAGTGTTCTTCTCTATTTGTTTTCCCTTTTCTGTTATTGGGTATGTGTACAGTCTATTTATGAGGTAATTAATACCTGACAATTTGTGCTCGAATGGATGGCACGAACTGTTAGGTATAATGATGTCTGTTTGTGTGGGTTTCCTATATATTGCAAATTGCAACCTATCTTCATTGCGATATATTGTTATATCTAGAAAGTTAATTGATTCTTGTTGTTCTCTTTCAATGGTGAACTTTATATTTTGTTGCAATTCATTGATTTCTTTGAGTGTATGTCCCATGTTTGTTATTTTTTCATCATATATTATTAATATGTCATTGACATATCTAAAGTAAGCCACTATTTGTTGTTTTACTAGAATAGGATATATTTGTGTGTGTTCCANATATATTGTATATATGTTTCTGCTATTATAGCTGATGTTGGGGCTCCCATAGCTAGTCCATCTGTTTGTTTGTAGTATTCTTCGTCAATTTGGAAATAATTTTGTTCAAATACTGTTTTTAACATGTGTATTATTTCTTTGTGGCTTTCTTTATTTATTTCATGGTTTTTTTCCAATATAGTGTTTATTATATTTAGGGTGTTAGTTTTTGGTGTATTTGTGTACATGTTTTCAATGTCAAAGGAACATAATCGCATGTTTTCGTTAAGTTTAATAGCTTGTAAATCTATCATTAATTGGGAGGAGTTTTTGACATTGTATGCGTTTGGCAGTTCCAGATAATCATGCAATACTTTCGCTAATTTCCTTGTCATTTCGTAAGCTGGGGCGTTCTTCCAGTTTATTATTGGTCTAATAGGTGTGTTAAGTTTGTGTAGTTTTATTGTGGCGTGTAGGTTTGGGGCCGTGGGGTTCATATTTGTAAATTTCCATTTGTCTTGTATGATGTTATCACACTGTTTCAGTGTTTGTTTTACTGCCCTTTGGTATTGTTGGTTACTGCTGTCTCAGCTTCTAGGGCTAATGTCTCAATCCATTTTTTATTCTTGTGTAGATTATATTTAAGGCCTTTACTTAGTAACTGGGTTTCTTCGTGTGTAAATTGTATATTTGTTTGATTCACTACTCTCGTGTATTGTATGTTTTTGCTTGTTATATCTATATTTTGTGTTTTCTTCATATTGTTTAATTTTTATTGTTGTTTTAGATATGTTTTTTTCTATATCTTGTTGTAACTTTTCTTCTATTGATTGTTCGATGTTATTCCATGTTCGTTGCCATGTGTTTGCATTGTGTATGTGAATGTGATAGAGTTGTGTGTTTAATTGTTCTTTCTTTTTATATAGAAATTTTATTTCATTTTTTATGCGTAATGTTTGGGCCTGTATTTGTGTTTTCTTAGCCGCTTCGTTGTTTGTTGTTATTTTCACGTATGCATATTTTGGTACTAGTTTCTCCTTCAGACAGATTTTGTTAAATTTTATTTTAGCGTTGCAGTGTAACAGTTTCCGTTTACAATTCATATATCTATAAATGCTTTTTGTGTGACAACTGTTTACAATTTTTAACATGTTATTTTTCGTGCTATGTATGTTTTATGTTGATTATCACTGTAAATTTTTCAGCAAGGTCTTTATTCCTTCCCAGTATATTATTGTTTTCAGATATACAGACCTGCATAATGTAATTTCACATGGTAGTGGATATAAAAGACCTTCTGGATCCTATGTCCTTTCATGAAGACTCAACAGGGGCTTGATCTGCAGGGTAGGGAGAGCACAGTAATACCATGTTGGACACACACTCTGTTGCAAATGAGATCACTGCATTGTCATGGTGGAACACTGTTTTCCAGATTTTCAAGATGAGGGTGTTTATGGCAGTCAGCTTCTCATTAACAGCAAAGAATATCTTTACATGTGGTATTGTTGATGTTATGCTTTTCCAGAATTAACCTTGTGATGAATCATATGCTGGCTATCAATAATTTAAAGCATCGCCTTCCCCTTGGAGCAATCTGCATGAAATATCCTGCTTCATTGACAATAAGGGAGACTTCAGTACAAGCCTGATAGTCAAGGAAGCCTATAAGGGCAAGACTATGTTTTAGTTTTGTTTTGGTTGTAGGATAGGGTTTGACATAGAGGCCTTCAGACTGTGGCCTTAACCCTTTGACGTGGTCATTTAAATTCCGCGGCCGCGGCTCCTGCGGTAATATATTCAGCCGGCCATTTAAATTTTGCTCGAAAATTATTTATTCATCATTGTTCTTAAATTCTATGAGATAGGAACATGAAACTTTCACTAAAATGATCTTAAA